GTTGTTGCTTGGCTTCCTACAGTGGACAATATACGTATGATGCATTCTAAAGACGAATAAAAAAGATATCAAAAGAATATACTGTGTTCCTCTCAGGGATCTTACAAATAAGACCTTCTTTTTACTTATCCTCTTCACATATTATTTGATTTATATATATACTTTAATTTCTCTGTGTGGGACAATTTGTGACCTATATATTCATGTACTGAATGTTTAGTATTATTTATGTTTGTATATGCCTGTTTTGTATATAAAATGTTTTCCTGCTTAACTCACTTTTGGAATTAATTTCTGGTACTTCTTTCCATCTTGTTATGTTGTTAGTATATCACATATACTAATGCTTATAGTGAACTTTGAAAAACAGATGAGATCAAGATATTTCCTCTCTTTCCAAACAACTCATTACTGGTATGGCCTTCTTATCAGACACACTAGCCTGCTGCCTTTGTTAACCTGAATTTCTATGTTGATGTTAAACTTGAATTCATTATCCACATGTATATTCAAATCATTTTTCAGGTGAGATAATGACAGATTTTTTTCTCAATGCTGACATACACTCTCATGATGTGGCTGTTGTTGGGATTACTATACTCTAGATCAGGGGTTGTCAGACTTTTTCAACCAAAGACCCCCTTTTATTTCTCTTCCTTCCCCAGTGACCCCCATTTAAAATACAACATACATATACACTAACTAAAATTAGCTTAGTGTTATTCACACGTTGACCACCATTTGACCCCTTGACTATTATCAACCTCCTTGAACTGCTTGCCAATATCTAGGGTTTGCATGAGCCCTGTTTGATGACCCCCTACTCTAGATGAAGGACTTCAGATTTGGCATTTTTAAAACATACCTGCCAACAGTCTGTACAGTCAACTATGTTGTTTAGATTCTTCACTGGGAACATAGAATACCAGAGAAAATACTTTGATGATTAAATATTGAAGCTATGATTAAAGAGGAATAAAATATTTGACTCTGAAAATGTTTACATCATAATATATCTGATACATTAATGAATGATTTTCTTATTTACATTGCAGACTATTGTCCTCATCTTTGTTGTTGTTGTTATCACAATGTTTCGGCCATTGTGCTATCTGGCGTTGTACCTGCCAACTAACATGATGGCTACATTTTCTTTTGAAGAGTCGACAACAAAGGGAGGTTATTAATAGTAAGTCAAGAGGGAGATTACTAGAAAAAGACCTGTTCCTGAAAGGAGACAGACAAGTGTTCAGAATATCACAAGGTGTATGTTAGTCTGGGTAACCTACAGGGAATTTTGAACTAGTAGCAGACATTAAACCTTTTTACTAGACATGCATTCACTGATAGCCCTGCCAGTAGCATCATCATCATCAGCAGTAACACCTTTTCAGCTTTTGGGCATGCATAAAACAAATGGGAGTATCTGTGCTGTGAATCCCAAGAAACTAGCTCTCCTTTTTCCACATCATGACAAGGTTGAGATAGGATGCTAAAATTAGTACTCTTTTAATAGTGATAAGATGCTAAATTAATACTTCTTTAATAGATGTAGGATGCTAAAATTAGTATTCCTTTAATAGAGATAGGATGCTAAAATTAGTAATAGACACACATGGCTTAGGCAATACACCTTGTCCACTCTTTAACTCACTGTTCTATTCTAAAGTCTGTATAATGTTCATAGTTGCTGGTTAATAAGACTAAAGAAAACACAGAGAACGAAAGGTTGAGTGAAGAAGGGTTTAATTGCATGAGAACATGGATTGAGAATACAGTAGTTCAGTGCAACAAGTGTATGACTAAAAAGCATTACACCTTTGGTGACCCAAAATTTTGCTCCTGTTCCATGGAGCAGACATTTTACTCATAATGGATGGACAAGTCCATGTTTCAATAATAAGTGTTCCGAAGGGTAGTCAGTCTTTCTGTACAACACTCACCAACAGAGTAAGTTAAATGCTTTATTCACTTTATTATAGAGACTCTCTTGAGAACATTCTTTGAATTTGTACTTCCTTTCAGGAACTATCCTTGAAATTTGTATGCAATAGAATAAATGTTTCTATCTCATTTTGTTCCACACTCTTATTTGTCTATTTTCTCAACCAATTCAACATTTTTAGTTTTTATTCATGTTGTGGTACGATACACCTAATTTACATAAGTGGAGTACCGACCATATAATATGGGTTGGTACCGGAAGACGGGGGAATAGTAGTTAGTAAGAAGAGATCGAATCGAGAGACTCAGCCCGACTGCGATTTAGTCAACCCATTATGCAGGAACAGTCTTCCCAAGAATATACCAAAACTAACTGTAAATATTGTGTACCTTTTCCTTGTTTCAATACATTTTGTTTACGTACATTTTGTGTTGTATTATTATTATTCCATGCTTATCCAAGTTTCAACAATTCATTAATGCATGATACCTTTTCAACTTCAAATGATGACCCTAAACTTTGTTTTGGGATTTTATGTTGTTTGGATAAAAATAAGTCACCATTTTGTTGTGGGATTCAATACCTTTAATATGTCGGAGTTAGCTCCTCCTTAGCTCCTTAACCCTTCACCAGGGGTCTCTCTCCCCTGGCTATAAATACTGGGTGACCCTTCACCTCTTGCTCTTTTTTTCAGGCGTTCAGCCTTATACCAACTCGCAGATGTGAGCTCTTACAGATATGTTTCCCAAATGCTGGGAACATACTAAGAACAATACACATATGTACGAACACTCACCACAACACACACATATAATATTCACCACACACACTCTGTCCATGTAACTGTCCATGTAACTTGTAACCTTTCTTGTTATTAATACATATATTTGTTTACATATATTTATTGGTCTTGTGTTTGTTTTTCTTTGCCTTCTTTGGACTTAATTAAAGTCCAACTTTCTCATGTAGTTGGACCGGCTAGCAGGAAAATAATAACTCACATGTGTTCTTCTACAATACATCTACATACACATTGTAGGAATCCTTCTACTCGGTTTTTTGTTAAATGTTAAACTTTGGAGTGTTGGGATTCAATACATTAACAAAATATCGTTACAGGGTCGCTCGTAATTTGGCCGTCTAGAATAATCAAACACTTTTCATTGAAGGAATAAAATTCAGTAGAAAAGACGATGTAGTTTCAACAAATAAACATTAATTTAATATAACGATAGGAATACAAACAGTTGATAATATATTGGAAAGTAATGTCTTTTGCTTGGGTTGATAAAGTTATGAAATAAAATATAAACTGTCTTTGTGTATGTGTGTGAGGAACAATAAAATGTTGTGATATGTGTGTTTGTATGAAAAGTCAACATGTGTATGCATGATTCATAGTAAAAACAGATACGAGAGATACGAATTGTTTCTTACTGTTGGCAGTGTTGCCGTGTTCTGGAGTTTGTCAACGCTGTCGTTTTTGACATGAGGTCATGAAGGTCATCAGCGAGAAGTGTGTGTAGTTTGCTGGCAGCTGTGTGTATATTGTTTTGGGAATGGATTTCGTATGTTTTTATACACTTTTTCCGAACAATATCGGCTCCAGAATTAAATTATTTATTTATTCCTAATTGGCCCTAAGAAGTCATGTGGTATGTCTTCTACTACGTCCGTACGATATTTGGTCGGTATCTACCTAAAAATGATGATGACTAATACAACAAACATTCTGACTTGTAATCTATGATTTTATTGGTGTGTTTTAAGATGTAAGTGTTTTCTTGAGTGTGATTAGTTTATAAATATTGTATTTGATATTTTAGTGGACACAACATCACCACCGCCATGGTCCTCTACAAATATGAGTGTGTTGATGTTTTATAGTAAAAATTTATGGGTTCCTGGAACATTTGTCCCACAAACATTATTGTTGGACTCAAGTGAGCCCAGGTAAAAATAAGATATACAAAACAAGGAATCTAAAACAAAAGACAGTTAATACATGTACTGACAAAAGTAATTGTATGTGTATTCAATTGAAATGAAAGTAAAACATATTGAAACTAGCTATAAGAATGCGCTTGTTGTGTGTGTGTGTGTACGTGTCTGTGTAAGTGTGTGTGCGAAACTAGTGTGCATGATACACATGTGAGTTCAGTCATCAGAGGAATAAGGAAGCAAACGTACACAAGTGGCAGTGTTCTTTATCTACGTTCAACTACATCTGAAAGCAAGAGGAAAAATAGAAAGTGAGAGAATATGTCTGCTTTTTATAAATTTAAAGAGTGCTACCTAATGTGCACTTTTAATGGAGCCAAGTTGTGTAACCCACAACCTAATAAAAACAATGTGTGTATCGATCCAGTTAACTTACAGTGAATTCTGAATTGAAACCTTTATTTATTTATGCTATTTACATGCAGACGATTGTCCTCATCTTTGTTGTTGTTATCACAATGTTTTGGAGATTGTTTCCTCTGGCATTCATTAGGTGTAGTATATATATATCCAGGAAACTTACAGTGAATTCTGAACTGAAACCTTCATTTCATCTACAGGGGCAGATTGTTCTCCTTCCACTGTCAATGTCTAGGGATATCACGTATAATTCTTATTTTAGTACTTCTCAGTTATTCTTTGTCCCCACTGAGTCCTGCTACACACTGCCTGGCCCAGGGATTGAACTCACAATTACTATGCCACCAAATTCATCAACCAACAATTTAATCCACTAAATTATTGTCATGTCATTTTTACTCTCAGTTTATGAAAAACTCAAGAGTCAGTTCATCATTGTAAAAAAAAAATCTTGAAATTTAGTTTTATTGGAGATTTAGAGAATTAAAAAAATGATTTTATAAATGGTTTTAAATTAAATAAATATATATCACTAAATTTTCAAAAGTAATTAACGTTTATTGAATTTTTATTACTGCTCGGGAAATTACAATGGAGTTTTTATGCTCGTTTATTTATGGTGTATGACGTTTAAAAATGTTGCGTAAATCAAGCAAGAAACTTAAACGAGTACATGACGAAGTAGTGTCCCTTGATGACTTCTGCGCTGCCCTCTGGCAAGTTATCTCCCTTAATAGCCAAAATGGCAGCGATAAGTGAAGAGTTGGCTGCATGGATTAGTAGAGGAAAACGTGCTACTGCCACCCATTTAAGATCTGTACCCCGTGGAAATAAGTTACTCGATGAACTATTACAAAATGTATTCGATCCTATAAAAAATATTGATGATTATGACAAGTTGGAATGGTATCGAGCACTCATTGCTGGAGGCAGAACGTATGACGAATTCGATAACTTAGGTTGGTAAACAAATATTTTTTTTTTATTATTATAGATATACACAGTGTTTATAAATGGTGGTGATAAGATTCTTTTCTATGAAATACAGCAGTTTTCTTTTTGTAAAATAATACAAGATGAGGAAAGAATTTATACCTGCCTAGTAATTTATAGCCTATAATTGGTGTTGCATATTCTACTGGTGTGTGTGTCTTGTTCTTGAGTGATGGACTTCACTTTTCTTTTAGTAATGATTTGATTTTTTTTTCGCTCTTAAAAGCTGTTATTGTTTCGTATTTATTTCTTATATTTATTTTGTATACATATGTATATATATTTATTCCTATAAACTGTGAATTTGATTATCTTACCCAATTTTCTTTTTCGTCTCTTCTGCATTTGTTCATAGTTTGTTTGATGTTCCAGTAATTGTCAATAGTCATTTTGCTTACTGTGTTTTTTTTTTTTTCGTTGAAAGATCTTTTACTAAATTCTAGTTTTTATTTGTTTTTATTTTTTTACTAAATATAGTTTATTTGTTTTTTATGTAATTTAACAAGTTAATTTATATCTGATACATGAGAAAATTTCTTGTTTTTAAATACTGTGTGTTCAATTTCTACAGGTGGTATGTGTACAAAAAACGAATCGATTTCTAATTTTTCATTTTTACTAATACATTTTTTAGTAAATTGTATTCGTATTGTTTACTTTTAGTTTTAGGCTTTAAAAAATTGTTTGTAACTTCACTTAATAAATCCTGAAAAATAAACACATCAGAATCACGAATCTTATTTTTCTTTACTGTTTTTTACACTACAGACACTAAATGAATGTCAGCTTGTAACTTTTAATTGGCTTGAATAATTTTCTCATTGACGTTCAACTTTTTTAAGTTGATTTGATGTTATTAAAGTATTTATCTACCATGTAAATAAAAGTAATTAATATTTAAAATCTATTTTAAAACAAATCATTTACCAAGGTTTCAAGTCGTGTCATCGAATGGTTTACTTTTAGTTTTGTTTATTTTTTATTTTGTTTTGTCACTCGTGTGCTAATTTCTGTTAATTCAAGATAATTGAATTTAAGTTTAATTTTATTTTTCATTTCATCTTCATGTCTATTGCCTTTCGCATATAAAGGCAGTGTCATAAATAAATGAAATGAAAATTGCTCTAAATCTAAACATAACATTTTTTTTTTCATTTTCGGTATTTTTTTAAAGGAAAATCTATTCTAATTTCTGCTTTTTAATTTGGTTAGTCAATCTCTTTCATTTTTAACCCATTGTTGATTTTTTTTTTCTTACATACAATTCACTAGAGATATCATACGTAACTCTAAAATAGGATGATAGGCTTCATCATTTGAAGAAAATTTTTAAAACCTCTTTACTTTGAGTCTTTTTATTTTTTTAGTCATGAATTTAATTTTGACAATCACGTTTCAGCTCAAATTGATGGAATTTCATAATTTGAATCCGTGACCCTAATATGATGGGTAATTTTATTTTAAACATTTTTTTTAGTAATTAACTTCACCGAAAAAGCCACTTAAACAACAATTCACAATCAGTTTTTCTGCATTTTCTAAAAATAAATAAATAAAACTCGAAACGCGCAGGCGCGATGATGCGGCAAAATGGCGGTTTATTAAACTAAATAAAACTAGTCTTTCTTCAAACTTTTTTATTTGCTATTTTCATCCGACATAATTCTGCTTCTTTGAAACTACTGATAGTATTTAATTTTATTTTTTTCTTCCTTCGAGCTCCAGAGACAAAATGACGCTGAAACTCGTTCCGGCAGTGATTTTTTTTTTTTTTTTCTTTTTTTAGTTTAGTTTTTTTTAACTAACATTCATCAATCTCTTCTTTTTACTTTTTTTTTCACAAAATTTAAATTAGTTTTCTGTCATAAGAAAAAAAAAATAATATTGTTTTCAGCATTTTAATTTTCTAAAAATTCATTAGAAATAGAGAATTATTTATTTTTGAAACAGGATGTTTTTTTACTGTTTTGTATTTTTATTAAAAAAAACTGGATTGTGACATGTATTCGCACCCCTCCCAACTTTTCCAAGTGTGTGGGAGGAAACATTGTTTCAATTTTATTTTTAAATCACGATTTTAATTTTTAAGCATGTGCCAAGGCCCAAGTGTTTTTAGTTTTTATGTTTTTTTTTCTTTTACTATTTGTTGCTGTATTTGGCTCATTCACATAGTCGATCTCGTCACCTCTTGTCTTACTTAAGCTAAGCATCTTCGAACAGTTAACCAAATTGTCATATCCAGACACTGCCACCTGGCGTCACCAGTGTAACAAAGATAACTCTGCTACAGAAAAAAAAAGTGAGAAAATAAAGTAAAACTTCTTTTAACATGTGTCGATGAATTTATTTTATCTTCAGAAAAAGAACGTACGCAACCGAAGTAGACTGGTCCATTCGTAAAATTAGAGGAAAACATTTTTTTATGGATTTAGCATTTAGATCTTCTTCAAACTACAACATTTGTCCTGATCAAAAAATATTGATTTTTTTTTTTTTTTTTTTTTTTTTTTTTTTTTAAGCATTTCATCCCAAGCAAGGCGGGAAGCCACTAGGACGCAAGGAGTTACAGAGAGCGAGATCAGATAGGAGTGATAGAAGAGAGTATGAGGAGAAGGGTAGTGGATAGATCTGGGCAACTGGAGATGTCGATTGACATTACACTTGAATAGCTGGAGACTTATTAAATTTATTGATTTAGAAGGGTTTTGAGAAAATAAATGTTTATATTAGTTAGAAGCACAAGTCCTTGGAGAATTTAAATTATCCATTTTGTAAAACAGCCCATAGTTAGAAAAATTCTGCTTGGAATCATTAAATAAAAAATGAAATTCTGAAACCAGTTGAAGTTCTTTGCTAGGATTAACATATCCATCATTTGTTTAAATATATTTTTAGTTCATTAACACTTTCACTGTGGTATTGTTATAGCAGTGTTGTGCTGGCTTGTTTTGGGGAAAAACAGGTAATTGCCATTTATTGGAAATAAATGACTATGAAAACACTGACAGTAATTTCTCATGGGTGCTGCCATTTTGGTTTCAATAGAATACTTTAAATGATACCTGAACACAATATAATAAAAATAGATCACAAAACAGGTTGTATGTTACTACATATTTATGCTTGTTTACAAATAGTACAAAGTGCTCATTAGTTTATAACACAAACACTAGGACCTCACATTTCATTGTGTTTCGAAAATTTATACACACATATATACATATCTATCCCTATATACATATTGACAGTAGATAATATAAGCTTTTTGCAAAGCTGTATAAGTACATCTACAGCAGCAGAAGTGTTAACCTGAAGACAAAAGGAACTTTGACCTGACAAGTGCCAAGTTAATCTACAAGATAGGTTGGTACTTGCATAGACAATATTTGATATTATATATACATATATGTATATTGTTGACAACACCTATATTCTATATCATATTGTATGAAGATTCCAAATTATAGATCAAACAGAAAATTCCTTATTTAAGGATAAACAACAACAAAAAAAATTATAACAGGATATTTTTCAGTTCTGGGACCAGGATTTTGATGGATTTGATTATTACCTCCTATAGAAGGTAGCTAAGGAAAGTGAGAAGAAAGCATAGATTATAAGACAGAATGCATGGTAATCAGCAAAAGGGTGTGCCCAAAATGCAAACTACAGGTCAGGGATACTAAAATGAAGCAGGTACAGAAATTTAAATATCTGGGAAGTGTTCTAGCAGAGGACAGAAAGTGTGACACTGAAGCTGTATTGGGATGGGCAAAGAAGCTAAGCAGAGTATTAAGAGACAAAAAAGTTTCATTAGAAACAAAGTACTGAACTGTTATATGTCTTCTTGTATGATAACAAATGCTGGACAATCTCCTCAAAGATGAAGAAGGGCTTGAAGCAATAGAACTGTGGTTCTACAGAAAGATGCTGAGGATACCCTGGACTGAATGTGTGTGCAACAATGAGGTTTTGGAGAGAATGGAAACAAAGAGGAAATTTATACCTAACATCAGGAAGAGGCAACTGAAATTTCAGGGGCACGTAATGAGGAAGGAGGGCTTTGAATATCTAATACTCAAAGCAGTCTGTAACATACTTGATGGTTTTAAGCAGATGAATGGTAGTGGGAGTGGAGGGCCATGATCGCCTATGTCCGGAAGAGACATGACACATAAGAATAATACAAAATGTATCTTAACAGAGCCTTCATCAGATTATTCTGAAACAGACACCAAATCAAACCGACTTTTTAAATAGAACTAAGTAGAGGTTAGTTGATTCCTGCTTGAAGGTCATTGGTTGGTAGCCATGTCACTAAAGCATATAAAACTTGAACCACCAATTAAGCTACCAAGTAATTGAAATGGAGGTCTATGAAGTGCTATCTAGTTGTAGGCATGTGGGTCAAAGTCCAATTGACCCTGACTATGTCAACTGTGGAAGGGGATCTGATCTTAAAAGATCTGAACCCTCCCCCCATGTTTCTGCTTATAAATCTTTCTTTCTATGTGCTGTGTCTTTTCAGGACATAGGCGATCATGGCTCTCCACCTCCCTCTATCCCTTGCAGCTCTCAACAAGTTCCTTCCCTCTGCCACCTCCCCCCCAGATCATGTTCCGGCATCCACCTGCTTAAGGCTGCTAAGTATGTTGTGCATTGTTTTCCCTTGTCTTTCTTTCTCTCTATTCAATCCATGAGTATCAGATTCTCCAGGCCTTCCTTCCTCATTATGTGTCCAAGGAACTTCAGCTGCCTCTTCCTGATGTTAAGTATAAGCCTTTTCCCTCTTTGTAACCTCTCTAAGACCACATCATTGCTCACACGCTTGGTCCATGATGTCCTTAGCATCCTTTTGTAGAACCACATCTCTGTCACCTTGAGTCTCTTATTCATCCTTAAGGAAGACATATATTGGGAACAAAATGTATTCTCTGGAGAAAAATCTTATCAAACTTTATTTAAT